CATTTCCACACAGACTCGTCCAGCGAGCACTGAACTGGTACTGCCACGTGCAGCGCTCGGCCGCCAGCCGGCCGCTGCACCTGTCAACACCCGGACCCCCTCCCCTGCCCCACGGCGTCGGGCGCCAGACGCGGTCTGAGACGGCGCGCAGGGGCGGGGAGGGGCAGTCGTTGGCTGACGCGCATCATTACCGACTTTATGGAGGGTTTGTTCAAAAGTGGACGCCTACAATACATCGTGGTCTACAAGAGGTCATGAGATGCGATGCTTCTGAACTGTCTGAACGGTCTCATTACGGTCTCAGTAACTCATGAAACATATTCTCAAAGCAACTGTTGCGTCTACGAATCACTCGCACAATGCACAAAATGGTGAAAACCCGAGGCCAGAAAAGAAACCCAAACCAAAGACGGATCCGCGACCCAGGAGTAAAGTGGCAGTGAAAAGGTTTCACTGAAAGGAATGAGCAACTTAACTTTTTTTAAACCGGCGAAGCCCCAGGAGTAAATAACGTTTTATTCCCGAAAAGATCAGTTATATGTACCATTACTGAGATCAATTATATTTACCATTACAAATACCGTTACTGAGTTCCCGCAACTGAGGAGTAAACTGTGATGAAAATATTTTGTGGGTGAGTAAATAATACATTGCCAATCAGCAATGAGTGCAGACACAGAGGTAAGCCTACTTTCAATGGATCGTGGTTGAGATATGGCCGATAATTCATTTTGATAAAGCCTAAGAGGGCTCTCTGGGGCGCCATGATTGTGCATTGCGTTTTGTAGGGGAAAGTGGTGAGAGTATCAGTTTGTAATTCAATCTCCAACCTATTACAAATATTCGGGGTAGGACTAAGTCTTTAACATCTGCAGAAAGCTATAATCTTCAGCTTCATATAAAGTCGTAAAGTTTGGAGAGTACATGTTTGTTCTTTGATAAATGGCTTCTGGTGCTTTATAAATAAAGGTGCTTAAATAAATGACTTCTACCATGTGGTGGTAGAAGTTGTGCTCACGCTTTTCAAAGTCTAATTTGCATCAAAAGTGACCTAAATGCGTTACGACATGCAAATCAAATGTACTCGTCTGTGTTTTTCCTTAATTTGTCGTGATTACGTCAGGAACTGTTTATTTTTTAATCAGGAAATGTTTTCAACCGCTGCAACCTTGGTTTCTGTTCCTCTGGTATAAGTCATGGATCAAAACAGGTGAAGGTAAATGTCGACTTGTCTGAATGGCAGCAAGCCAAGCTAATCATGGCAGTCACTCATTGCCAGTAAGCAATCATGCCAGTCACTCTTTGACAGTAAGTCACTGAATGACATATTGCTGGTACATTGCACCTACGATGCGACATGCTCCACGCACAGCTGATACAATGGCAAATGCTTTACGGGTTGTATGACATATCGCCTTCTCCACTGCCCAGGGTAACATTTAGATTAGTTTAGTTAAGTAATGAGGCCCTAAGCACACATCTACACCATTCTGTTTAGTTTCCACTAATATGCAACAAACAACTTTGTGACATTCAACCCAGAAGCACGTGCACGTATGCGTCTGGAAGTGCACCGACAGTGAGAGGTGCTGTGCATCAACTGAGAAACTCAGAGCTGCCATAAAAATCGCAGAGATTTCAAACATATAATTTTGATGCGCTTTGGACACGGAGGTGAAATGGTGCATCGTCTTACGTCCATGGAGCACCGCCAACAAACCACTTGATATGGCAAGCACCAACATCAAACAGATCAACCCTCACCCAGCGCAGGGGCTCAGACTTCCCTCCCCCAAGATTTCTCTGAGCCAACTTCCGAACAATTTTGAGCACTGTGCTGAAGTTTTAGGTTGCTGGGCTTACAACACCTTGACACATGTCGTAACGTTTTGGAGTTTTGACCCTTACCGATCGTGATCTATGACTTATTGCCCAAGATCATATCGGTTACACTTTTCGCAAAAGTGGGAAATAACATTTATTTCTCGCAGCAAATGCATTTCAAAGTATTTGACAGACAACTCGTCTTACCTACATCCAAGGGGGTAGCTTCGGTTGGAGGAGGGGCTCGGCTGGTGAGCCGGATCTGACACCTTTACCACCTCAAAGCTAGACCTCTCTCCGAATTTCGGTCACTTATATTTGCGTCATCGGACTAAAAAGCGATCGGCTCAGCTTACCTCGGTTTTCATTCGCAGGCTCTGCCTCTCTCCATTTGTGTAATCCTGCATGCGCCCCTGTTTAATGATGGAGGTAAGCAAAGGAGTAGTAAAAAGGTGAAACAAACGAATTGTTTACGCGCGAAACTCCTGTTTACAGATGGCCAGCTGTGCACACAGATAATGGAGCCAGCTACCTTTTACTTATAAGCTGCTGCATATCGCAGAGCATTTTTTGGGTCCCGCTCCAGGTATTGTCGCGTGAAAACTCGCTAGTAACTGCTGACTGGCTAACACGTTCCTTAGCTGACATAAGGAAAGCATTATATGTGGTCTTTACTCCAGCCTACAGGGAAATAAAGTGATAAACATTAACATGAAACTAGCAGTGATGTCTTTCGGTAGATACCTGGTGTTCCGGTATTTCAGATCTATTTTGTGCATTCCATTGGTCCAGTATTGTTTTTGGCTCACGTTCATTGGGGGGGGGGGGGGGGGGTCACAGGAGCACTGAGCGAACTCAAGTCAGCATTGAAGCTTGCCCATTAAAAGTATATAAATATAAATCAATACCTCTGTCTGCATCACTTTGAAGCGCAATACCATCGCCCTAACCCTGCGACTCTGCTTAAGGTTAGATAGTTTTAAACTTAATGAGACACATCTGACAGCTCTGAAGAGGCTCTCCAGCGCTGTTTCGCCCATTGCTGTGACCTGGTTAGTTTTTGATATAAGTGGACGAAGAAATACCCCAATAACCTTCACTCTTTCGAACAGATATGATATATCACAGGTCACATCTGCCAAGCTCACTAGTGTTAGCTCATAGAGTGTTCGAGTCTTCCGTCAAGTCTAAGAGTCTTCCATTGTCGTACCATGTCCATGTCTTGAGGTAACGGGAAAGGTTTTAAAGTGTTAACCTGACCTCTATCATAAGAGTCAAGTTGGTTCACAGAGTGCTTCGGATTATGCCTCATTCGTCTCAAATTCATATCAATGTCGCTTCATAAAAAAATTTGACCGAGCCTTGCATATCAAACTTAAGCATATTTGTAAATCTGCCAATAATGAAATATGTCCTGATAACTTTGTACTCTGGAATGCGTGATCAGACTCTGAAAGCCAGACTTCTTTTACGTTTGAAGTTCCGTTACGATTAAAGTTCCACTTTTTCATGGTCAGCATGCGCAAATCAAGACGGCTCTCCTGAACACTCCTCAAATGGGAGTAGTTTTCTGCCCTTAGGCGAGGCAGGGAACAGCTGAACTCGTTTTTCTAGAAGCACCCCTTTCTTAGCGAGTTTCCGACCTCCCCAAGGACGTCGGCTGACCATCTGTGAAGTCATTGATACCCTTCTGGGGGTGATGTGTCTCTTCGTGGGTGAATGCGGTTTGATTCTTTAACCTTTGACTGTCATTTTTAGCTCTCACCGTCTGGGTCGGGCAGCCACATACGTTATGGCAGTCACCGGGTAACTGTACGATGTTCTTCTTTTACTGTGCAAAATGAGTTCATAAAACAAAGCATGCATACATGAAACAAATAGCGTATTTATCGATGAAGAAGACCTTGGGTTTTCACAGCTCACTGTCAGTGTAGTTGTGGCTTCCGGGCCATTTCTTGCCACATTGACATGGACGGAAAACAAGTAGCGCATGCCTGGTAACATAAACATTCTGCTCCAAGTGCCTACCCAGTGACTCAAATCTCAGATCGACCCGCGGCACGCAGCCCCTCCTACGTGGTCTTCTCTTTCCTCCTTCCCTGGAGCCGTTTCCACCAGGAGATTCGCTGCTGTCAGGCCCAGCGGAGCCCGAACAGCGCGGTAACCGACCAGCGAACCAAAGCGTCGACACCGGCAGCTCTCTTTGAACGATCTCTAGATGTAGTCACCTGCCGCCTGACAGACCTGGAGACCCCAGGAAAACTTCAGCGTTCTTACTCGCTGGTGTCTGCCTTCCTCTGAATTGTTGCAGGCTCGCCTCTGCATATTGATGCCCAAAAAGAAGGTGATTGAATAGAGAGTCATGTGCGACTCATGGGCTCTCAACACAACCACCAAGCCGGGTAGGTCACCAACAGGCACCAGCTACCCCAGATTCACAGTTTGTCGACCAATCTGCAATATACCTGGCACTACAACTTGCCGCTGGGGCTTCGCAGCCATGGCGCCACCTCTCAGCGCGCCATAAACGCCACCTTCCGGAAGGTTGGTCAACTCAAGTCGTTTCCTCCGCAGAACAACGCCGCGACAGGGTGCGTGGTGTGCGTCTTTGGTTCGCTGTGGGCCACCTCTCGCCTCCGCCCTGGGGGCCGATGAAGATGACGCCGTCGATGGATCAAGGAGTGCCACGCCTCTCACCCCTCCAAGGTTTGTCATGCAATGAGATGATCTTGTCGTTCCGGCTAGCAGTTTCCCTGTACCTGGCGACGAGCCGCGACGCCCAATACGAAGCTCGGCTTCACACCCAGCTGTGGGCGATGACCGGCTTCCGCCGCGCCCGAACGGCCGTCTGCCAACCCCAATCCGACGGCATGGTGGAGCGCCTTAACTGCACCATGAGGACATCCCTTACCGCTCGACGTCAGCTGCGGCGGGTGTCGCCGCCCGTCGTTCTCCTGGCCATCCACGATTCTGCACCGTGCCGAGCGCGAGTGGCCACTCACCGTCCGCTGCTGTGACTGGCGGCCGGCTGCTGAGGCCGAACACAGGCGTGGATGGCAGTCATCGCCGTTGTAACGCCGGTTTATTCCGAGCCATAGCTCATTATGTATATTTGTTTTTATTGCTAGCGATATTATGTTAGCGACATCTTTTGAGCCATTTCGCAACACCTCGCACGTTGGCCACCGATATCCGAGTTTGAATATATGTGAATCTACCATTGCCTGAGGGGACAAGCGAACAAACTAGAAAAATGCTCTGTAACAACGGATCATGATGTAATAGCTCTGGCATACTCAGAGCCATTTTTCACGAATATTAGGTCCGTCTCCAGTCTATGTACAAGCAGATAACCATTTTCAACCATTAAATTTGTAATCGGTTGTTCGTAAATCGGGTTGAAGCTGCCGTCATCGTTCTGAACTCCCGGCTGCACGTACTCCACCATCACGATCTGCAACAAAGCAGTGTGCGCGGCAACTGTCAGTGCACGCTCTGTCTCAAGTGTTGCATGGGCTCCGGACACGCGCGGCAGTGAGACACCTTGGCCTTGTGCTGTGTGGAACGGACGAGTTGGTGGCAGACGGAAACATTACGTGAATTATCAGACCAAAACACAAGGAAATGAGGCTTTGTAATGATATCAGTAGCATTGGAATGCACATCCTCCATGATGATTCAGAGGCAAAAGACTCATTAATTCAGTGTTCTTGCGCTAATTCACGCACCACATTGCTTAACAACTCGTTGTCTCTAATATATATCTAATATCTAATATAATCTCTAATATATAATATAATCTCTAATATCTAATACCTAATATCTAGTCTCTAATATCTGAAATAACCAATGTTTGCTCTATAGCTTCGTTTAACCAACACCCCTAGCATAACGAAAGGTCGCGAAGTCATCGTAAGGGCTCTGAACTCATAAGACCAAAAACGTTTCCAAGAAAATACATTCGTCCTGTTTTCCTCTGATGGTCATACCTCATGCCATCTTACCTGGGACCTCACATTTCAATGGCGTTATTCTCTCCAAAGACTTTCTAGACGACAGAGAGTGTCGGCGAGGGTTTTAGCGAACGATGGTGTGAGTGGTCCTAGTCATGCCTTATGCAAAGATTTGAACTCCTTCAGAGTGCTAAATTAAGACCGTTTCAGGTTATCGGAGTGATGAGTGTGCAGACTTCTCTGAAGCCATTCAAAGGTTCTTTGGAATCATTCTGACACGGGGTGATGCGCTGAGAATATATGGCCTTGCTTCTTTGAAACCAAACAAACCGGACACAAACCGATCGGATGGTGGGGGTCAGGGCTCACACAACAAGCAATGCTTAGCGTGAGCGCTGATCACAGAAATCCATCCATTCCAAGGGTTCGGATCAAATTTATTTTTTTTAAATCAGGCACTCAAAGCTGATCAGATGAAGTAATTATCATGACACATCAAACAGCAGTGTGCACCAGGTTTCGGAATTGCGGGGGAGGGGGGGGGGGGGGCACAAGTTAAATCGAATTCATCCCGCCTTGCGTGACGTTAAACAGCAGCACATGCTCTCGATCTTCTTATTTTTACGCAGCTCAGCACCCACAAATAATAGGTTTTTGTACAGTTGGAGGTATTCAGAAATGGATTGCCTTCTTGTAGTTTCGCCACCTGAAATCACTGAAACCTTGTATCTTAATTGCCGACCAACGAAAGCGCATAAAATTTCTCCAAAGCGCTCTCTTAAAGCTTCATACGGGGCAGACTATTATTGTAACGCGGTCTTAATATCTTTTTTCGTTAGGTGTAAGACAGACGGCTGGGAAAAAGTTCAGCCTCCGCTTAAAAATATGCAGCAACTATAGCCGAAAAAAGTCGAGGTGCTTTCATAACCTATACACGAGACGAGTGAAAATATTATTGAAAAAATATTATTGACAGGCCATATTTGGGCAGACCTCCGGGGTAAGCCGCCAGGGGTCACGCTACTGTGACTCGCTGGAGATGTTCGCACATGCTATCTTCTGGCACCTGTTTTGGCAAATAATACCCGTGGGACGGACGTTCCAGCCGTCCCGCCACCTGTCACGCATCTGACCTCTAAGGTCAACTGCAATAGGTCAGTTCTCTCAAATTTATGTTGGAGCTCTGCAATGACTATTTTTTGCGGTCTTTTCAGCACAATGCAGATGAGTTTTGGTATCCCGAAGCTTCCAGTCTTGCGATCCTGCATCTGGCAGCAAGGGCGGACGCCAATAACTGGCCAGGCACTCAGACTCACTTAAGAACTTGTTAATTGTTATCATTCAATGCTTTTTTTTTGTTAAAAATGGCAGCCTTTTGGCGCACAATTGTTCTCAGTAGCTGGATATTACTTGCACTTGAATGTCAGTTGCACATTCTGTCAGAGCGCACAAGTCAAGCTACCCAGCCTTGCTTTAGATAATGGCTCTCAACCCACTGTCTGTCATTTAAGAACTCTGGTAACGAATGCTGGGAGCTTTGACATTGTATCTTCGAATCGCATACCTCCGCATTTCACGTAGAAGGCCAACTATGACGTAATGCACAACAAGCACAGACATGTGGCAGGTCTAGAAACAGCATCACCCAAAAGAACAGGCAACGGAACATTACCTTGATATCGACCCTGTTCCAGGGTACGGTGTGAAGTACCAGTGATTCGATCCCCTCCACGTCCAGGGTGAGCAGATCCAGCGTGGTGAGGTCGCAGGCCAACAGGATCGTGTAGAGCGGAAAGCACTGCTTCAGCCGCATTTGGCTGTCCAAGTCGGTCTGCTCGAATTCTGGCTCAACGTAGGACACCAGTGTGCCCGGATTATGCTCGAAGCCAAACTGTAAAAACGGGAGACAGCTGGAAAGACACGGCGGAGCGGAAGCTGGCTTGTGTGCATGGCGTGACAAAAACATTTCGTTGAAGAAGTTCAGGACAAAAATGGGAACAGATTATCAGGCACCACTCGCCCCGTAAAGGAAAACCAGCTCTCACTTTCTCAGAAACTGCAGCAGTTCGAAAGCCCAAATTTTCACAGTGCCTTGGCCTGCAGGCTACCCGAAATCTTCCCAAATTTGCAGACCGAAATCGATGCCACCTGGTTCAAATCAGCTTCACGTGCTACAGCGAACCAAGTCAGAAGTATTTGCGTGATTGCAGTGCTGCAGGCCGACAGCCCTGCGCGAAACAGGGGCTGTTCCCTGCATGAGCGGTGAGGAGGCTCTGTCGATGAGGAAGGCCATGGACCAGACCAGGAGCACATGCCATGTGTCGGTGATAGAAAGAAGCCTGGTTGAAGTCGTGCACATTTCCATCCGGCTTTACAATAAAAAAAATTCTCGTGATTTGTTTAACCGACCACGGGGATTCTTAAACTTTCGAAAATGAGGCACGGATCTCATTAAAGCTGTGACGTATCCCAGACCGTTTGCTGAAGCTTGCTATCGCTTACTGGTTATTCCGGACCGATGACGTTGACGGGACCGTTTATGGACCGTTCATGGGCCCTTAAGCGACCGACAGTATTGGGCAGGGCTGGAGGATCGCCGAAGGAACTGATGAACGACATGAAATTGCAATGATATCAATGACGACACTTATGTCCTTGATATCTTACACACAAAAAACAATGCGTATCTGACTCTTGTCGCATTTTTCTCAATTGCCTACATTGCATATCTGGCATAAATCACGGGGAAGATATCACTCCGATGGCGTTAGGGAGTTAGGTTAGGGAGTTGATGTAACTGATCTGTTTTGGTTCCTAAGATAGCCGATATAACAAAAGGTGTACGTCTCAGAGCTCTCAATTTTGAGCTGCGGCCTGATGTGCAGACGCCAGGTTGAAAGAAGGGATGGCTCACGAAAATGTATGTGCACAAAGGTAAATTTTTGATTTTTCCTGTAAATTTTCATTTGGCTGCCTCAGGGGGCCGTCATCACAGCTCGGGAAATTGGTCAGGCGGGCGGCTCCTTAACGTTAGGCGGTGACGTCACAAAGTCGCACTGGCTTGAGCAGCGGCGTTGCATGGCAACGTCGACTGCGTCGTTTGGAAAACAGCAGTCACACAGAAATGCTGTGGTCGGTCTTGTCTATTATCGCGTGGCGTGGCACCAAGTTTATATTGTAAAGTAGCTTCGGTACGTGCTATTATGTCGCGCGTGGGAGAAATTCGAAGCGGTGTGAGAGCATTGGGCAAGAGTGAGCGTCAAAGGCGGTTTTTTGGCAGCAAGGTGTCGTTCTGTGAGGACAGTCTCATGCAAGAATGTTAAACGGCGCTATGAAGGCACTTAAGTTTTTTACATTTCTAAAAACCTATCCAACTGTCATGAAAACATGAGTGCACCGCTGCTCGCGGACTAACTATAAATCTGGAGAATGCGGTAATCTGATCTGATCATTTTCAACATTATGACTGATCCTGGCCCTCCGGTTAAGACCAGTCCCAAACCCAATGTTGAACACCTTCGACCAAGTGCAGCTCCTTCCATGCAACTGGACATCGCCGGCACGCCGAAGTGAGTATGTGTGTGCTTAAGAAGGAAAATTACCGTCTGTTTTATGCAGAGATCTTTCAATCCGATTTACAGTTTAACGCATGCGCAATCTATGCCCATCCGTGCAGTTTGCAAACTACAATACGAGATCCAAACGAGACTTTCCAACCATAATCTTGTTTACAAAGTGGGGCCTGACTACCACAGAAGTGGTACAGCCATCTATGCTATACGGGCGAAGGGGGTGAGTGTCAGGGGCGGAGCCAGGGTTGGCGACGGGGGAGGGCAAGTTTGCGCAAGCGAGTTCCAGCCCCATTGACAACACATCTATGCACTGTGAACTGACTAATACCCCCCCCCCCCCCCAACCGTTAATAAATACAGTACCTAGCGCATGAATGAGCTACCAGTATTGGTTTGCCCTGGTGCCTTGAACATTTCTTTCAGCTGCGTGGCGTACATGTTCGCCCGCCTATATGCGAGCCTTATTACTAATGAGCCACTTTCGGACTCTTCGTGTCACTGTCCATGCTAGTGTTTGAGGTTTCAAACAAAAGCTTTTTGCCTGGTCACCAAAGTTCGGGATTACGTACAGTAATATCATGGTGCAAAATGCTGATGTGCCTAAACCATAGACCTTGAACCTCACGTGCAGAGACGAATGGAGGGGGGGGGGGAGGAGGGCTCGGAGGGCCGCGCTGTTCTCGTGCATTTTTGCGTCGGAAAACAGTAATGGTGGCACCACCCCCCTGGGGCAACCGATGCTCTGAAATGGGACCATGAAACGGGACCATCCAGACAAATCCGTGGCTATGGCCAGGAGCGGTAGATATGAGAATGGTGCACGCAGTGCAGTACTCGTCGGCCATTGACCGTCCCTCTTGCCCGCTCGGATTATGTCACGCTGGACCACAAAAAAGTAGTTGTGTATCAAAACAAGCATGAGATAACCTAAAAAAGGGCATGTCCGGGTCCAACACGTATTGCTGCCGCAATGAGAAACAACACTTGACTTGTGACTTGTAATACGGTATAATTAATGCGCCTGTTAGGTACGTGGAAATGGCTGTGTTCCGTTGTGCCACAGATCTAAGATCTAGCTGTGGTGGAGGTCGCAGAGCATGCGGACAACGCGGAAGTCGCCTACCAGCAAACAGTCGTGAGCCCTCCAATGCCCGTCCCGAACGGGTTCGGTGAGGACGGCGGGGTCAGTGAGTCGGGCGAAGACATGCTCCATGGAGGTGACGGCGAGAGGATCGAAAATGGCCCCCGCCGCGGCGACGAGATGGATGAGGTCAACATCCAGCACGGGGCGCTGACCCTCGTTGCCGGCTTCGTGGCGGTGCCAAGTGCAAACACCTCGATCCATGAATGGGACTGTCGACCCGAGAGACACCACCCAGCTGTGTGCCAGACAGGTGGATACACGCGATTAGCCAAGGTGATCTGATGGTACCGTTGCCGGCCTGGACGAGCGTTTTCGAGGCTTTCAAGATTGTGTTCCAGCTAGTGATGGGCCGAGGCATGGACTGAGACATTGGTATCGTCGACCGCCTCACAAAGCTCCTGCTGAGAAAGTTCTGCACAGGACAAACGGATTGCTCGATAGCTGGTGACGACGCGCATCCATCTGCGCCTCGGACGGCCTAATCAGGCTGGGGCTGAGCGGGCTGCTGCCAGACGCGCAGCCAAACAGGTGCGACATCAGGTGGACAGCGTTAAGTGACCATCGTTGAGCTTATGTGAACAAACGTAACTGACCTTAAGTGAGCATCGTCATGCCATCTTTGTCTTGCATGGTTGTGTGTCTGTTTGAGGCATAGACGGTTCCTACGCAGATAAACGTTTGGGTTGTTTCAGACTGATTATCATGTCGCATAACCCTAATTTAAGCTGAAAAATATATAGTTGTGTTCTCCACCTCCCCCCCCCTCTCCCTGTTTTCTCTGTTGCATCACCAAATGTGCACAATGAAGTGTATGCTGGACGCAAAAATCGCTTTAGTAAAACACAGTGAATTGTGAGTTATACGTGTGTTCGATGAACTGGCTGCATGGAGTAACATATGTTTTCTTGATTAACGCCACGCGCCACGGCCTTCGGAGGCTTCGTGTCATAGTTGATGCAATGTGCAATGTCCACAATATCATATGTTCTATCAAGCAGCACACCACTTCCGTCGTCTCAGACTGCCTCCATCACACAACAGTGCAACCCGGCGCGTCATTATATATGGTGCTGAGGTTCAGAGCGACAGTTCGGATGATGATTCTGGTGCCGGTCAGTTCCCCTTTGGCAGTGGCTGGACCCTGGGCAGGCTCGCCAGCCTGCATTTAAGCAGCTGTAGGCTGGCCAAATTCAATATATTGCTATAGACTCAATGTTTGGCATCCTCAGCAAGTGGGATTGCCATGGCACACAGGCTCTCGGTTTCTAGGCTTATGTTAGCTGTTATGCACGCAGCGTGGCAAAGAAATCCCCCTTCATATTCCCTGATAAATCTTCTTAAAGCGCCCTGTGGCGATCACCAGATGCATTTGTTGGTAGGTGCACCAGTGTAACAGACGCGAAGATAATGCAGGCGGAGAGGTGATGCCAGGCTGCGACTTTGTGACGTCACAGTAATAGTGAAGGGAAAGTGTCGGAAAAATCCCCGGATGATCATACCTTACTGCATGGCCTTGGACTGCCTACAGTTGGGTCAGGCCGATCAAAGGTCACGTTCGTTGATGACTGGCAGAATACATTTGTGTCCAATTGTACAGTTGAAATCATTTCGACGTTGCCAATAAGTACTCATATATTCAGTGTGTCATACCTTCAATGTTTTGGGAACCCGAGGTTTATGGAAAAGGCAACATGAAAATTAAACACTATAAACAAGTGGGTCAATTCCAGTGAGATTTTATTTTAAGAAGTAGATTTAGGCCCTTGAGAATGGTGGCGCCTCCAAAACAATAGCCGCTTAGATAATTTCTGGTTCCGCTTGTGCTCTATACAAAGCACCCATTGGCGTCGGCTGGACGGATGATGCACCAACCTCTTGTGGGTACGGAGCCGGAGAGACGCAAGCGTTTAGCGTCATCGCTCTCCTGTGCCTCAGCAGCAGATTCTTATAGTTCCAGTCCTCGGCCTCGACAAGGACGCCGGTCCAGTCCTGCGGGCACCAGTCGTGATGTGCCACTACGGAGGGTGTGGCTGGATGACGTCGTCACTCTCACACTTCGCGGGCCTTGGTCATCTCGATTGGACTTCTCTCGTTAGGAGGCTTTGATATGGCTATGCTTTACTACCAGTCTGATCCGTTTAAGATGTTGATCCTCGCGGTGTGACTTATGTACGTTTGTTCTGAAAACGAAATTGTGGGCGTTCGGTGGGAACGTAATACACACGGACAAGAATTTAAGAGTGTGAAAACGGGAAATAAATGTGAAAAATAGTTCATCGGGCATGTTAAAGCATTGATGATTCAGGCAGAGCAGACGAACAAATTTGCATTGTGTTCATGATCATCAAACAGTTGCCAACAATGTAGTTAATGCTTGAGTTTGTGGATTTTGGGTTCTTGGTAAGGACTAGAATCAACGCAATGATCTGTAAAACTAGGTAGCTTTTGCGTGAATACACAAGCATCAAAACACGGGCTATTTGCACTTGCATGGATGAGTGAGTAGCATTGCCCTGGATTGTGATGTTCAGAAACACTTTGAGTCAGTCGCTTCTTTCCATTTAAGATTACATCCACTCCCCCCAACCCTCCCCATGACCGCGTAGTCACCACGCCTATGCTCGCATAGATATCACGTCACAAATGCTGTTAAAATAGCCAATAGTTCTTAGAAATTGGAAAGCTTCTCGCCTTACCAAAAACCGTTCAAAGTAGAGAGTGTTGCTGTGAATTTCTCCCTCGTACGCGCCTGCTTCAAAGAACGTTCCACCTCTCTGAAAAAAACAAAGAACATGTACGCTACGCAGCACAAACTGTTGATGTCAGTGATGTAATCGGCGGCGCTTCTCAAAGCAGGCCTTGGATGGTACCGGTGGGAGACGGTCGATGGTACGGCCGGTGATGCCGACGTGAAGCGGTCGGTAGTACCGATGACAGGCGGCCGATGGCAGCGATGGGAGGTGGCCGATGGTGCCAATGGCAGGCGGCCACTGGCACCGATGTTGGACGGGCGCATGACTGACCTTACCAGCCACCAGCCGCCGCAGATAGGCCAGCTGCCCGGCCTGAGAGGTGTCGTTGAGGTCGCCCCTCTGCAGTCGGTACGGCTGCGAGGAGGGCGCGTTGAGCAGCCGCCGGACATGCTGAACCAGACGCGGCTCGTCCATCGCCATCCGCAGCGGCGCCCGCATTAGGTCACCGTAGGTCAGCGGCAGTTGGTCGGACATCGGGTCACCTGGCGACAGCGGCGCATTCATTTCACGTAAGTCACCATACCGTAAGTTACCGGAAGCAGGCCGCTTCCGCGTTGCCGCCGCCGTTTGCAGTTCGACCAGAGGGGTTTGATTATCGAAATGATCGCCAGTGACGTTGCTTCAAGACAGAGCTCCAGGATAGGTATATAAAACGGCATATATTACTTTAATTGTGAGTGCGTGCGTGCGTGCGTGCGCACGTATGTGTACGTGTGTGTCGGGATGACCACGCATGTGTGTACGAGCGTGCATGTGTGGATATGAATCCTTCACTTTAAAACCAATGGCGGGCAAGCGGAAGTACGAGCTCAGGTCGCAAACTTACGTGGCGTCAGAAACACGGAGCTGATGATGAATAAAACGGCGAGGCTGACGGCGGCGGCCGTGAGCTTTTTGCGGATACTTCTCATCGTCTGCAAACGTACAATTATCCTTAACTTTTTATTTGGGTATGTCTTCAACATTTAAGGTGAGAAAGTTCTGTTTTTAAGGGAACATTTTCTCTGTGCGCCTGATTATGAGTTGCCGCATTATGCCAGCACTGGCAGCTCGCGGTCGTGGGTGGCATGAGTGTCTAGGACATATTCTCATGCGCCATGACCTAGGTTACGGTTTCAAATTCATTGTCAGGTGCCGACCCTGCAAAACGCAGGACAATTATGTATCCGATTGCTCGGCATGCAGGCGCAATACTAGCAGAACGATGTTTCGGTCAGGCGCTGTATCTACAGCATTGTTTAAAAGTATTGCACAATACCGTCAGGCGCGGGCAGTACACTACGGGGATTTCGAGATCCCTGCAACAGCGGCCCTGACGGGTACTGAAGGCTCGTTTCCATGCCAGTTGGCGCCGGGCGCGGACGCGGGCTCTGCTTGGAACCTTCTGGTGAGCATGCGCGACGCCCCCTCCCCCAGGGGCACTCCATGGATCTCCTTGCTCAGCACGAGCTGCCAAGAAATTATGCGATTTTTACCTTTGTGCTCTAAAATGTGTGTTATATCTCTCGAATTCCTGGTGTGCCGCCAACAATAAGAAGAAAAATGATAATAATGTAACTTATTTCACGCCACCAGGTTGGTACGCATAAAAACATGTCCCGAACATCTGGCCCGCTAACGACGAGGAGGTTCAATCCACGAGACGGTACTCTTGCCTGATATGCATGTGGCTGCAGTGACGACACTAAGCCCTATTTCGCTTGCTTGCAATGCCTTAAAATACCGTTCTGACGGGACATGAGTCTTTGGTTGAGCAGCAGCTGCAGACCAGCTGCTAGCATGGAATGCGGTAGAAGGCTCTTTGCAACGGCAATGGTTCCTTGTCCAGCGTGGCACCCTTACCAGCCTCTTCATGCATGACTGGCAGGGCATGCAAAGTTATTGAAATTATATCTTTCCACGCACAGTGTTCCAGCGTGACAGACTGTTTCATATCAAACCTTTTCCTGTTATCATGTGAGAACATTTCCACATTGAAGGGGATTTTCCACACTTGAGCATATTGAACCAAGCATCAGATATGATGGAAAAGTTCAATTATAACTATTGGTATGCTTTGAAACGTGCCAAAGGTGGAAGCGGAAAAGACTGCTGTAGATAACGCCATTTTCCTATTTAGCAGGTATCATCCTCAATGCGTCATTATTCGACTGTGTCACCGTACCCTGCATAACATTGCGAGTCAATTGACGATCAGTAAATCTGAAAATCGCGCTCACGAACGCCAGTTGTGAACGACTCGACGATCATATTTCCATTGGCCTTGATCACTCCATGGCCAACGGAATGACAAAATTTCATGACATTTTTATGAGGCTACGGATGCCCGGGGGATCTTGTATTAGTTTCACATCTTCGCGGGTGTGTAGCTCAAAAACCACGGGGGTTTAGGTCTCATGAAGAGCGGCGCGGTGAACTGGACCGGACGGTGTTCAGGATGGTGACTGCGGTTCAAAATCCCATACAAATGTTGAGCACTACTTTTAACGCAACGTCAGCGCGCAACTGATATGATTTTGCGGAGTCAATTCACATATCACCTTATAACATGCAACTGCTCGTAAACAATGACCGATGAGAGCCTGCCTGGTAACAGACCGCGTTTTAGAAGCAAACGCAGATGGTTAGTTCGCCAACTCGTTTATTTGCTTGATGATGTCTTACGCTTAAACACGCAATATGGGCATGTATGTTCGCGTTCAAGTGATGTGATCACATAGAAGCGTTCGCTACGGTTCAGACGAAGTATCAGCCTATCAGCAGCTGAGCCATTTTGGTGCTTGACAAGAATTTCTTGATAGGCCGTGAAGCCTGGAGCTATCAAATTGGGCTCCAAACTCTTGTCAGTATGAAGCGCGCACTTACACAAAATGCAAGCTGGACTCATGTCTTGCAATTTCACAAGTTTTACTTTCAACCTCGTTGGTGCGAATCGTTGGAGTATTTCACAGCATCTACAACATTCTTCGATACCACAAAGGGCTCTCATTGCGAGATAGTTTGCCGCCGAGCGTTTCACGAAACAGACCGCAGGACACAGCCACCTCATATGGCAACACAGGTGAGACGAACAATCACCCATGCTACCTATACTCACAGCTTTGATAAGCCTGACTGCTGTCCTCCCCATCAGCTAGCACCGGCCTGGTGAGATGTTCTTGACGTTCCGACCGTGTCACCATCAGTTAATAACACCTGCACAGTGGATGCTGGTCGGTGGCTGGCGGCACCGGGTGCTGACACCGCGCGGCAGGGTTGAGCAGCGTCTGGCGGCGGCTGCGGCGCTGGGAGCGCCGGCTCTGCATCCCGAGCATCGGCCTGCCAACGACGCTGGCTGCCTGCCGCCTGCGGCGGGCCGACGAGCAAAACCTACCGCCTTGCGCCCGGCCCACTCCCGCCTTACTAGGCCGTGTCACACCACGTACAAGGAAAACAAACCAGTCAGGATTGTGCAGGTGACCGGGCGGGCCTCATGCGCTCAGGGCCGTTTCCGACTGCTGGCTCACGACCCCAGCTGACTTGCGGCGTCACTAAGTATATCAACAGCATGAGATGAAGCAGTGAACGTTGGTAAGAAAGCGGATGCACTCAAGCTCTACCTACGCAATCGTCCGCCTTTATGAGAGCACGGAGCGATCGTGGTCGTGCACCCCTGCATTGAGTGTCAATGACTCCGGCGGTTATATAAGCGCTCAGGGGTGCAACCGAGATTTGAACGCAGACCTACACGTGAGAACCGAAGCCGCCAGCCACTTGGTTACTGCGTACCCCCACCCCCTGCTAGCCACAGCCCCTGCTGCACACACACACACACACACACACACACACACACACACACACACACACACACACACACCACACACACACACACACACACACACACACACACACACACACACACACACACACACACACACACCACACACACACCACACACACACACACCACACACACCACACGCACACGCACACGCACACGCACACGCACACGCACACGCACACGCACACGCACACGCACACGCATACACACACGCACACACACACACACACACACACACACGCGCGCACACGCACACGCACACGCACACGCACACACGCACACCGCAGGGTCACCGGCTTCGGCCGGTGTAGGGGACTAGCGCCCCCTCGGGTCCCAGCTCCGCTAACGGGTGGACAGCGCAAGCTGTTTCTCTCAGGGCGTAGCGACCCTGCCGGTACGTGAGCTCCCACTCATTGTCCCACCCGCTCCCTCCCCATTATCCATTTTCCTGCATCCGGCCCACTTATCACTTCTGATCCTCGTTTTATCGGGGTCGCCGTGCCCCCTCGCCCTCGTCCCCGGGTTGATCGGATCCTGGTGGCTGAGGGGCCCGTCGTGCGGGTCAGTCGCGTCGCGTCCCAACACTCCACTTTGGCCAGAATATCCGGGGGCGTGGAGGGCCCGTGGGGCCCCACACGGGTCTAGCGACTTGTCGCTCGCGTTGCGGTTGGGTGCTCTTTGCGGGTCTCCGCTTGGGGCGCCTGGCCGCGCGCAGCGGCTTAAGGGGTCAAGGGGCGGCGGCGCTGAACCACGGTCAGGACGGGGAGGGGTCTCCCCGGTTACACCTGGCCGTGTGTGAGGCGTCGTTCGCCCCGTATAGCACCGGGGTAGCCCTGGCGGTGACCACCTCCCGAGGGAGTGTTGGGCCGTCCCCCAGTTGGGCTCCGAGGTGGGTGGGGAGCCCCGTTGCCGAAACTTCACTGAACTTGCATGGCATCTCATAATCAAAAAACCACCCGACCGTCGAAAGGGGGAGGACCACGTTCAGAGCGGAAAGCAGCGGGGAATCTTCGCCATCTCCCCGAGTTTTGGTTTTCCAAAGTGATAAGACAAGGCTCTCGTCTCTCTCGCCGTTTCAGCGAAAGAACGGATGTGACCGATTTGGAAATGTGGTGCGGTGCGACAAACTGCGTGATGGAGGGCTAGAGGTAGAGTTTGTTAACGGAGCAAAGGCTGATCGTGCGATGGCTGCAGCCGAATTCACGTACTGCGTTCGGGACAAGGATGGCAAACGAGACGTTTCTGTACCTATCCGAGTGACACCACACCTGACAAAAAATGTATCCAGAGGAATAATTAACTGCTTCGACCTGCGTGACGTCAGTGAAGAAGAGATTGCTGACGAGTTGTCTGTGTTCGGCGTCACTGCCGCACGGAGGATCTCCACTAGAAAAGGAAGTGAGCAACTGCCAACAAATAACATCATCTTGACTTTCAATCGCCCGGATCTTCCTTCTGAAATACGCGTTGGATACGCACGTGTCAAGGTGCGCCTTTTCATCCCAAACCCCATGCGATGCTTCAACTGCCAGCGATTTGGTCATACCAAACAGTACTGCCGCAACAAGCCTGCCTGTGGGAAATGCGCTTCCTCCGAGCACGCAACGGAATTTTGCGATTCAGAAAGAGCGTGTTGTGTGAATTGTGACAAAGACCAGGCCCCGCACACGACCTACGACCGCACGTGCCCAGCGTACGTGAAGGAGAAAAGAACTATCTCCATTAAGACCACTCGCAATATCTCTTTTCGCGAGGCCAGAACATTGTACGAGGAGAGCCACCCTCGAACATCATGCGTCCGAAAAGGCTAAGATCTCCACCGCACGTCCGACCTCCACTGATCAGATGACCGCTACTCAGTTTGTAGCGCTTTTGAAGTCATTTGGTCTCTCGGTTGTGTCGACGAACCAGGCGCTGGACTCCAGTCTGGCAGTCCTGGCTCCCCCTTCCTCGCTGGAGCGGTCGAAGGAGACCGTGCTGCCAACCTCCTCGCCCCCCCCCCCCCGCACGGGTTTCGCCGTCGGTGGCAGGGGACGGTGGTTGGGCGGTGGTTCGGCATGACCGGGGTAACCAGGCGCTGTCGGCTGCCCCCCTGTCTGCCATCCCGACGACTAACACAACCTTGGCGAGCGCGAGCTCGCGAACGGCAGAGACGCTGGAGCGTCACGAGGCAGACAGGCGCGCCAGTGAGGCAAAGCGGGCACGCCTGGCAGACCAGGAGCGTGCCAAGGCAGCCAACCGGCTGTCTGGAGCGGACCAGGCGACCGCTTCAACGGGGGAGAACCTCCCGCCGCCCCGAAGGCGTGTGGAGGCTCCCGCAGGCCCCTCCGACCCGCGGAGAGACCCGCCTATGGGTCCACCGCCACCACCGCCACCTAGGACCACGACATCGCCGGCGCCGGCCCCGTTTAGGACGGGGCGCCCGGAAAAGCGTGGTCCGCCAGGGCCGATTTCGCCAACGGATGGCGGTAGTCCCCGAATGCGTCCCAGGATCCGCCCGGTCTCTGTGGGAAACGGTTCTGAAGACAGGACCAACAGCCATCGGCCGGGCTCCAGCGCTGCTGAGCTATTTTAACACATCACATTGCTTTTAAAGCCCCCTCATTCAGTCGGTCTTACAGTGGAACTGTAGAGGTGTAAGGTCAAGCACCCGAGACTTGCAGGCAATTTTAAGCGCGCACTACCCGGTAGCCGTATGTCTCCAAGAGACCAAGTTGGCGCCTGATGCGGCCTTTAGCCTGAAAGGGTACGCTACCTTCCGCACTGACATGCCAACAGACACCGTTGCTTACGGTGGCGTTCTGCTGGCTGTACACCAAAGGGTACCTACACGGTGCCTGGTGTTAAGAACTGACCTGCAAGCTGTTGCAGCATCGGTGAATTTCAACCATCGTGCCATAACTGTCTGCTCTCTCTACTGGGGTTGTATTTCCATCTGGAGGACTAAGAGAGTTAGTCTCTCAGCTTCCTCCCCCTCTACGCGTTTTAGGCGATTTTAATGCACATCATACTGTGTGGGAGTGCGCTTCCACGAGCACTCGTGGCAGGCTATGCGAAGCTTTCGTGCGTGACGAAGGCTTGTGTGTATTAAATACAGGAGGGAGAACCCATTTTACATTGCCATCAGGACGATCGTCAGTACTAGACCTGAGCATTTGTAGTCCGCAGTTGGTACGACATTTCACCTGGGATACTTAAGAAGACCCCTCGGAAGCGGCCATTTCCCGGTCTGGGTTCGGTACCGCGATGGTACTGTTCTTGTACGCGACCTCAGCGTTGGAACTTCAAGAAGGCGGACTGGGGCGGATTTGGTACCCGCCTAGAGGAAGTATTTTCTAACGATTCCGACTCTGCGACGCCGACCGCTGAGGAATTTACGTCTCGTGTTCTGGACGCGGCAAGCGAATACATTCCGCACACCTCCGGATGCCCTCGTCGCATCCCTGTACCTTGGTGGAACGACGAGTGCCGAGACGCTATTCGCGCACGTCGGAGAGCTTTCAGGGCTTTTGACCGGCACAGCAATGCATTAAACCTTTTAGCTTTCAAGCAAGCACGCGCGGCCGCACGCCGCACTATTCGAGAGGCGAAACGTGCATCTTGGTGCAGCTATGTCAACTCACTAAATCGCCACACGCCGACATCGCATGTATGGGATTAAAAGAATAGCTGGATTGCACCCACCAATCTCACTTCCGTACTGCGAGTGGGAAATCAAGACATCCCTCACCCAAGTGATGTCGCGGAAGCCATTGGGGAAGCCTTGTCAGAGCGTTGCCGAAATGGCACCTGCGATCCACGGTTTTTGCGACACAGGGCTAGACATGAAACTTCGCAAGTTAATTTTCATACAGATGACATCCTGACATACAACAAGCATTTCACTATGATGGAACTTGAAGCACCCATTCGCTCGCTGCGTAGCGTAGCGGAGGGGCCCGACCTCATCCACAATGATATGGTACAGCATTTTCCTCCCCGTGTACTACGAGCACTGCTGGCACTTTTCAACTGTATATGGGAGTCAGGTAACTTCCCGCCAATCTGGCGAGAGGCCATAGTAGTGCCTATTTTAAAGCCTGGGAAAACTGGAACGAACGCCCTTGATTATCGCCCGATCGCCCTCACATCTTCGCTTTGCAAGCTCATGGAAAGAATGGTGAATGTGCGGCTCTCGTGGACTTGAGAACGTCAAAACTTTTTCACGAATGCTCAGTGCGAATTCCGTAAGAACAGGAGCACGATTGACCACATCTTAACTCTTGATACCGCAGTGTGAGCCGGATTTAGTAGCAAACGTCATACCGGCGCCATCTTTTTTTGACATAGAAAAAGCTTATGACACCACATGGAGACATGGAATTTTGATGAAATTGCTTGATTGTGGCATCCGCGGTCACATGGGAAAGTTTTCACAAAACTTT